CTATCCTTCCACTGGTAAACTGGTAAGACAAATTTCAGTAGTGTGTTCTAGGAGTGCTTTGGGGTGGGAACTCGGTCCGGCATCAAGGGGCTGAGGGCAGCCATCAACATCTTGGCCAGAGTGCAGTTTTAAGGTATTGTGCACCTGAGTATTCATGTCCATTGGTAGTTGTCCATTTGCCTCTTGGGGAAAATAGAGTAGGATATATGTTCAAATTGATTTCAATATACGTGACTTAAATTAAATAAAGTTATTAATTGATTTTGTTGTTTAGTTATCTCTGTCCCCCTTTTTTTATTAATGTTGAGCAGTTTCTATATGCAGTATATATGTGTGATAATTGGAAGCCTCCCCCCCCCCCCCCTGTAAGCCCCTTTCATGGATATAAGAATTACCCCTGAACCCTCAATAAGTAAAGTAAATGACCTAAATTAATTCCCAAGATTTATTACCAAAGTTCCTAATGCCCTTGAGTTCATGATCATTGATTCCTTTCCTTCCCGGGGGATCAGTGATAGTCACATTCAGGTATATTCGCGGCAAGGTGGTAGCAGTGTCTCAGTAAGTCTAAAATTGATTCATTACTTTAAAATTAATAATCCTTTCATCCTTGTAGCTTCCTCCTCACTTAATATTTCAGGGTCAACATCAACTGGTAGTTCACTGAGGGTCACAGTGATCTGCAAGCAGTGTTAACCTGGGGTAATGAGTGGAGTAAGCGAGTAGCGTGATAGGGTTATTACACCCGAGCCACATGATTACGTGTGCAGCGTGCTATCCACACAGCCACCGGCGCCACCGTGGCGCCCTGATGTGTGTATGTGTGTGTGTATGTACTCACCTATTTGTGCTTGCGGGGGTTGAGCTCTGGTTCTTTGGTCCCGATTCTCAGCTGTCAATCAACTGGTTTACAGGTTCCTGAGCCTACTGGGCTCTATCATATCTACATTTTAAACTGTGTATGGAATCTGCCTCCACTACATCTCTGCCTAATGCATTCCATTTACTAACTACACTAACTGAAAAAGTTCTTTCTAATGTCTCTGTGGCTCATCTGGGTACTAAGTTTCCACCTGTGTCCCCTTGTTCGTGTTCCACCCGTGCTAAAGAGTTTGTCTTTGTCCACCTTGTCAATTCCCCCTGAGAATTTTGTAGGTGGTTATCATATCTCCCCTTACTCTTCAAAGGCTAAATGAGTTGAAACGTGAGTTTCAACTCATTTAGCCTTTCCTCGTAGCTCATACCTCTCAGTTCCGAAACGAGTCTGGTGGCATACCGCGTGTGTGTGTGTGTGTGTGTACATATGTATGATTGTGTGAACTAACCTATTTATCTTTATAGAATCAAGCTTCAGCTCTTGATCACGCAACAAGCTCCTTAGAAAGACGGAGTCTACCTTTTCCAGGCCCCGGAGGTCTTAGACAATGCCTGACGACCTACTGTTCAATACTATTATCTTTTGAGTGTGTAATCGGCGTTCACTTCTCCAATGTGATCGTTCATCTCATTCCGTTGTCTTAGTATTCCTTCACTAAACAAACAAAACACTTGGTAACATCTCTGTGACTCATCTGTTTCTGGACCTTCCATCCTTGCCCTCGTGAACTATTCGTATTCATTGTAAACATTATATTTTTAACTATTTTTCTTTAATATTTCATCTCTGTCTGTCTGTCTGTCTCTCTCTCTCTCTCTCTTCTCTCTCTCTCTCTCTTCTCTCTCTCTCTCTCTTCTCTCTCTCTCTCTCTCTCTCTCTCTCTCTCTCTCTCTCTCTCTCTCTCTCTCTCTCTCTCTCTCTCTCTCTCTCTCTCTCTCTCTCTCTCTCTCTCTCTCTCTCTCTCTCTCTCTCTCTCTCTCTCTCTCTCTCTCTCTCTCTCTCTCTCTCTCTCTCTCTCTCTCTCTCTCTCTCTCTCTTCTCTCTCTCTCTCTCGTTTCGCGCGACGTTAGGCCCAGATCTTTCAGTCTCCCTGTGTACCTGCAGCTCCCGTAATTCTGTACGAGCGTCAATGCAAACTTCCATAACCTTTCAAGGTTTCTTATGTGCTCTTTGAGATAGATTCCAAATAATGGGGCTGCATACTCTTGGGCTGGTCTCGTGTAGGTGGTGCATAGTTAGTTGAACGCCTCTGTATGTAGGCTACTGGATGCTGTTCTGAATTTTGCCAGTGTAGAGTCAGTGTCAATCCATGTAATCCAGTCAGTCCAGTCAGCATGTCAATCCATGTAAGAAATGGTTTGATGTTTGTCTAAGTCATCTTGGAGTATTTTACAGCACCGTCCTATAATGACTTTTCTCATTCATGTTGGATCGTCTGCGAGCATCAGTATAATAATAATAATAATTGTGTCGGGGGACAGGAAGCCAGAGTGTATTCAGACACGTTAGGCTTATTTCGAGGGGCTCCCCCATTCCTCAGGTCGAATTACTGACCCCGCCCAGGATGCAACCCCACAAGCTAACTAACTCTTGAGTACCTGTTTACTGCTAGGTGAACAGGGCCGTTAGGTGAAAGGAAATATGCCTAATCATTTCTGTCCCGCCAGGGATTCGAACCCGGAATTCTCGATTGTGATCGAGAACGCACCCCACTGTACTACGGGAACCCTTACATATGTAGGTTTTAACCTCTTAGTTTGATAAAATAAGTGAGAAATGGTATGGGTTCCAGTGAAGATCGTTGATGAACTCTGTTTGTTGTATTATACCAGTCCCAGTTCTCGGCGCCTCTCACACTGACTCTCTGTCTCCTCTCTGTGTGGTACTCTTTTATTTTTTTAGGAGCGCTTCCACTTCCTCCCGTCGGCCTCTCAGGTTTGTGCACTTGTGTGTTATGGGGAGTATGTCAAAAGTGTGTTATGGGGAGTATGTCAAAAGTGTGTTATGGGGGAGTATGTCAAAAGTGTGTTGGCAGTTAAGCAATACATAGTCCGTCCAGCCTTCATTGTGAGGATATGGATTTTTTTGTTTATAAACCTGTGAAAGATTTTATGCTGAATACAGCCTTCTAGGGGACCTGACAGCTGAGTGGACAGCGCTCGGGATTCGTAGTCCTAATGTTCCAGGTTCGATCCCCGGTGGAGGCGGAAATAAATGGGCAAAGTTTCTTTTCACCCTGATGTACCTGTTCACCTAGCAGTAAATAGGTACCTGGGAGTTAGACAGCTGCTACGGGCTGCTTCCTGGGGATGTGTAATAAAAAGGAGGCCTGGTCGAGGACTGGGCAGCGGGTACGCTAAGCCCAGAAATCATCTCATGATAACCTATTCAATGCTAGCAAATATGCTCCGGCTGTATGCCTTTTAACAAGATATTGCATTAAAATTACCAAGTGGAAAGTTCCCAATAAAGTATTTCGAACAGTATTTAGGATAATTTCAGTCCTAACAAAGATCCACTTGTAAATTCCGTTGATATTATCAGAGACCTTTAAAGCCAGAACAAATGTCATCTTCAGTGAAAGTAGCCATTTTGAAACCTGTTCTAAAGTTATTTAGCAGTTAATGGTTGTGAACTATGTGGCCAGCAAAATACTGCTGGCCTTGGTAGGCTAAATTGTGTGAAGGAAATGTTCAAGTGTGTTCATTCTCGCACTGGTTACAATCATCGATAATTGTGTAGCCTCATGTCTACACCTGAGGTGACAGTTACGAAACGAATGATATTTTTTTGTCTTGGAGGAAATCACCCATCAGCAAAAAGAGCATCAACTTACTCTCACACACAAAACTTGTTAGCAAAGTTTAAATACTGTCAACAGCGGGTCTCTGTTACATGAATTGCATTCAAAGTGAGTTTGATGCGGAATATCCATCCAAGATATGGATATACAAATGCTTCAATATCAGGAAATATTTCATAATGTTCCTCTTGAGAGGCTGGTGTTCAAGATTAAGAAACACGCTAAGGTAGTTAGGAACCCGTCAAGCGGGGTAAGAAAGTACCACAAACACCGAAAATAAATGGACACAGTCAGTGAGTAGCTGTCAAGTTGGACACCTGGGACAAGTGCAGTCTTACAAAGGTTTCGATCTAGGTCCACTGCTATTCCTAGTTCATGTAAATGGTCTACCCGAGAAACTGCGCTCATACGTGTCAATACTTGTAGATGATACAACGCTCATAAGGAATATATAATCCATGGAGGGCTGCAGAAAATTACTGAAGGGCCTTAACAAACTCCAGGAGTCAGGAGAAAAATGGCTGTTAGAGTTCAGCCCAAAACATGTAAGGTAATGAAGACAGGGAACGGAGACAGGGACCAGAAGTAAGCTGCACCAAAAGGGGAAGACAACCACAGGAATCAGAAGAAACAAAAATAACCGAGAAGATATAATTATTACACTAACACAAGAGTCACATATGAACAAGGCAACGTGATACTTCATGGAAGCCTAGCAAACATTACGTCACTGAAAAACCTCAATACAGATTATTTTAAGTCAATCTATTCAGCCTATGTTATACTGGTACTAGGATAAGCAGCTCCGTCCTAGAATCCGCTCCTTGTGAAACACAAAATCAAAACAGATTTTGTGTTTCACCAGGAACTAAGTGGACCAAATTACGAAGACAGGTAAAGGGAATTCAATTTCAAAACAACAGAAGAAAGAATAAACACAGGGGGATATGATTACTACAAACAAATAAAAAATAATGAGAATGTATAAGGCGGATAATATCAGCCTTTTTAAAATGGGAACAGTATAAGAAGAGGACATAAGTGGAAGCTGTAAACGCTGAAGAGGAAACATAGATAATACATGTATCCTGTACTGTTCTCACCAAGAGCAATTATACAGAGATTACGAACAACAGTTAAAATAGAACTCAGCAGGTACAACAATGCCAGTCGTCACTGCTAGGGAAACACTCCCATCATCACTGTAACACAACCATCGCCAGTGAACCTAGAGTAGAACTTAGAGCCATCACTGCTCTTTATGTACCCTAAGAAATTGCAAGAATCTCAACACGGCCTTAGACCAACTGCTGTAGTTACCTGGTGACCTGCTCTGAGCTTGCTGCGGGAAGCACTGCAGATCCCGTTGCTCTTACAGTCAAAAGTCACGTTGGTGTCCTCGGTGCGGCACTCCTGCAGAAGGAGACCGTCTGCTTTACCAATCTCCAGCGTTGGCTCGAAGGCTGTGTTGGTCTCCACCTTCAGCGACGCCCTCACCTCTACTGTCTCCATCCCCACCAGGAAGGGAACTCTGGAAAACCCAATGGAAGGTGTGAGGGAGTGACATGGGTGATGGAGAAGAGGGATGGACACAGGGAGATGATAGTCACAGGGAGATGAGGGAATAGACTGAACTACCCCATGCCTGGTGTGCTCTACATTAAACACATTAAATTGATACCTAAACGACTCTATTATATAATTTACACTAAATTCCCATTAATCACTAATGATATCCCAACCACTCACTAGCCTATGAAAGCATTTACTAACAATGCGCTCATTTACCAATCTGAGGTAATACAATCACGCCACTTCATATTAAAGTAGCAATTGATCAATGTCTAGATTAAAACTTATTCCCTGCCATTACCCCATGCCCAGTCCTTGAAACCCATGTCCAGTCCTTGAGATGCAAGTCCTGAACTCATTTCTTTGAGTGCCATTAGAGTGCCTCCTGCGCGTCATGATAATTATTTTCAGAATGTTGATGGAGATCTAATTAGAAGATAAAAGAGAGTGAGCATGGCTAGAGTTTCACCTCAGTGTTCCGTTGTACTGACTTGGACCCGAGATGAAAACTGAAGACTATAGTCAAGCTAAGAAGACTACCCTCCTACTTGAAGATTATAGTCAAGCTAAGAAGACTACCCTCCTACTTGAAGATTATAGTCAAGCTAAGAAAACTACCCTCCTACTTGAAGATTATAGTCAAGCTAAGAAGACTACCCTCCTACTTGAAGATTATAGTCAAGCTAAGAAGACTACCCTCCTACTTGAAGATTATAGTCAAGCTAAGAAGACTACCCTCCTACTTGAAGATTATAGTCAAGCTAAGAAGACTACCCTCCTACTTGAAGATTATAGTCAAGCTAAGAAGACTACCCTCCTACTTGAAGATTATAGTCAAGCTAAGAAGACTACCCTCCTACTTGAAGACTATAGTCTAGCTAAGAAGACTACCCTCCTACTTGAAGATTATAGTCAAGCTAAGAAGACTACCCTCCTACTTGAAGATTATAGTCAAGCTAAGAAGACTACCCTCCTACTTGAAGATTATAGTCAAGCTAAGAAGACTACCCTCCTACTTGAAGATTATAGTCAAGCTAAGAAGACTACCCTCCTACTTGAAGATTATAGTCAAGCTAAGAAGACTACCCTCCTACTTGAAGATTATAGTCAAGCTAAGAAGACTACCCTCCTACTTGAAGACTATAGTCTAGCTAAGAAGACTACCCTCCTACTTGAAGATTATAGTCAAGCTAAGAAGACTACCCTCCTACTTGAAGACTATAGTCTAGCTAAGAAGACTACCCTCCTACTTGAAGACTATAGTCAAGCTAAGAAGACTACCCTCCTACTTGAAGATTATAGTCAAGCTAAGAAGACTACCCTCCTACTTGAAGACTATAGTCTAACTAAGAAGACTACCCTCCTACTTGAAGATTATAGTCAAGCTAAGAAGACTACCCTCCTACTTGAAGACTATAGTCAAGCTAAGAAGACTACCCTCCTACTTGAAGACTATAGTCAAGCTAAGAAGACTACCCTCCTACTTGAAGATTATAGTCAAGCTAAGAAGACTACCCTCCTACTTGAAGACTATAGTCAAGCTAAGAAGACTACCCTCCTACTTGAAGACTATAGTCAAGCTAAGAAGACTACCCTCCTACTTGAAGATTATAGTCAAGCTAAGAAGACTACCCTCCTACTTGAAGACTATAGTCAAGCTAAGAAGACTACCCTCTTACTTGAAGATTATAGTCAAGCTAAGAAGACTACCCTCCTACTTGAAGACAATAGTCAAGCTAAGAAGACTACCCTCTTACTTGAAGACTATAGTCAAGCTAAGAAGACTACCCTCCTACTTGAAGACTATAGTCAAGCTAAGAAGACTACCCTCTTACTTGAAGATTATAGTCAAGCTAAGAAGACTACCCTCCTACTTGAAGACTATAGTCAAGCTAAGAAGACTACCCTCTTACTTGAAGACTATAGTCAAGCTAAGAAGACTACCCTCCTACTTGAAGACTATAGTCAAGCTAAGAAGACTACCCTCTTACTTGAAGATTATAGTCAAGCTAAGAAGACTACCCTCCTACTTGAAGACTATAGTCAAGCTAAGAAGACTACCCTCTTACTTGAAGACTATAGTCAAGCTAAGAAGACTACCCTCCTACTTGAAGACTATAGTCAAGCTAAGAAGACTACCCTCTTACTTGAAGACTATAGTCAAGCTAAGAAGACTACCCTCCTACTTGAAGACTATAGTCAAGCTAAGAAGACTACCCTCCTACTTGAAGACTATAGTCAAGCTAAGTGTCTAGTGCATGTTTCTGATTAATTATTTTTTTATTAAGACTGTTACCTCCCTTTCGCTGCTCTCTCTTTCCACTTTTATTGTTTAAATAATTGATCACTCCTACTTCTTACTGTTCATTCCTTTTTTTCCTTCATACATCTTCTTTCTAATCATTTTTCCCTTCTCTCCTTCCTTACCTTACTTATATTCATTGCCAGAGTCCAGAGTAGTAACTCTACTCGTTGTATTGTCATCCTATAACTCCTGATAGTTACCAAACTCTTCCCTCCTCTCTTCTTTTTCTTCTTCTCTCTCTTCTCCCTTTCCTTCCCGTCACTCTTCCCATCTTCCTCCCTCTTCTTCTTATTTACCCCTTTTCCTTCCCGCTTCCTCCACCCTCTTCCTTCGGACTCTACCTCACCTTCTCCGTTCTCCCCTTTTCTCTTCCCTATTTTTCTCTCTCCCTTATCTCCCCCTTTTTCCATCCCTCCTTTCCGTCAGTGCCCCATCTTACGTGTCGTTGTCCAGGCTGAGCTTGACGTCGGTGGTGGCGACGCAGGAGCTGGTATCGTTGCCGCAGGAGAGCCTGACGGAGGTGTTGTCGGTCTTCTCCGGATCCTCCACCACTGGCAGCAGCTCGCCGGACTCCCGCTGGTGGACCTGGATCAGGCGCACCTGCACGTTTGCGACCGAGGTGGCCACGGCGTCGTCCTCGGAGGCCAGGTCCTGCGGGAGGCGAGTCAGTTAAGAGAGACCTGGTGGGAGGGAATTGTCAAGGGAAAGCACCTAGCCATTACGACTATATAGCAATGGGAGGGGGATCAGGATAAGGATTTGGGATAGGACGGGGGGGGGGGGGGGGGAGGAATGGTGCCCAATCACTTGGACGGTCGGGGATTGAACGCCGACCTGCATGAAGCGAGACTTTTTTCACCGAGATGAAAAAAAAGTTGTCAGTGTGTGTTTTGTGCCTGACTGTAGGAGTGAGAGAAAGGGGGCTGGAAAAACCCCTAGATCACTGTATAAAGCCTGAGGGAGGAAGAGCCCTAGATCACTGTATAAAGCCTGAGGGGAGGAAGAGCCCTAGATCACTGTATAAAGTCTAAGGGGGGAAGAGCCCTAGATCACTGTATAAAGTCTAAGGGGGGAAGAGCCCTAGATCACTGTATAAAGCCTAAGGGGGGAAGAGCCCTAGATCCCTGTATAAAGCCTAAGGGGGGAAGAGCCCTAGATCACTGTATAAAGCCTAAGGGGGGAAGAGCCCTAGATCACTGTATAAAGCCTAAGGGGGGAAGAGCCCTAGATCACTGTATAAAGCCTAAGGGGGGAAGAGCCCTAGATCATTGTATAAAGCCTAAGGGAGGAAGAGCCGTAGATCACTGTATAAAGCCTAAGGGGGGAAGAGCCCTAGATCACTGTATAAAGCCTAAGGGGGGAAGAGCCCTAGATCATTGTATAAAGCCTAAGGGAGGAAGAGCCCTAGATAACTGTATAAAGCCTAAGGGAGGAAGAGCCGTAGATCACTGTATAAAGTCTAAGGGGGGAAGAGCCCTAGATCACTGTATAAAGCCTAAGGGAGGAAGAGCCCTAGATAACTGTATAAAGCCTAAGGGAGGAAGAGCCCTAGATAACTGTATAAAGCCTAAGGGAGGAAGAGCCCTAGATCATTGTATAAAGCCTAAGGGAGGAAGAGCCGTAGATCATTGTATAAAGCCTGAGGGGAGGAAGAGCCCTAGATCACTGTATAAAGCCTAAGGGAGGAATTTTTTTTTTTATTAATACATGAGGTACATCTGCATTAGTGCAGCTGCCCTAGACTATATGAAGTGGAGTACAGTGTGTCAAAAAAGCTAACTACGTGATGCTATAAAATCCCCATCACACAGGATGGTTAATCATACAGAGGCATGTGATAGTCAGTCTGCACTGGCAGACTCCGGAAGCATTTTGAGGATATCATCAACACAAGATTGAATAAGGTAGCAGTGGTAATAAAAGTCCCCATCTCGCAGGATGGTTAGTCATACAGGGCCATATGTTCAGTAGCCTGCACTGGCAAATTTTAGGTACACTGTGAGGATATCTTCAAGAATACGAGAGTGAATAATGTAATTGCAAAGCTCCAAGTACCTCATGCCAACTGGTCAGAAAGGTCTAATAACTGGGCATTCAGTGATGTAGTGCGGGAGATTGTGCCGTAGTTCCTGCTCACAGAGTTTGCAACTGGAGTGCTCAGGATTGGGAGATCCGTCACCTGCAGCCACCTGCCACAGGTAACGGTAACCCAACCTGATCCTGGCAACCACTGTGTCGCACAGTCTAGTGGACGTTTTGTGCTGCCCATAGATATAGGTTTCAGATCTGAACAAATCATAGCTTTTTATACTAGTACTTTCAGGTCGTTGGGAAGGGAGGAAGAGCCCTAGATCACTGTATAAAGCCTAAGAGAGGAAGAGCCCTAGATCACTGTATAAAGCCTAAGGGAGGAAGAGCCCTAGATCACTGTATAAAGCCTAAGGGAGGAAGAGCCCTAGATCACTGTATAAAGGTATAAAGCCTAAGGGGGGAAGAGCCCTAGATCACTGTATAAAGCCTAAGGGGGGAAGAGCCCTAGATCACTGTATAAAGCCTAAGGGGGGAAGAGCCCTAGATCACTGTATAAAGCCTAAGGGGGGAAGAGCCCTAGATCACTGTATAAAGCCTAAGGGAGGAAGAGCCCTAGATCACTGTATAAAGCCTAAGGGGGGGAAGAGCCCCTAGATCACTGTATAAAGCCTAAGGGAGGAAGAGCCCTAGATCACTGTATAAAGCCTAAGGGGGGGGAAGAGCCCTAGATCACTGTATAAAGCCTGTGGGAGGAAGAACCATAGATCATTGTATAAAGACTGAGGGGGGAAGAGCCCTAGATCACTGTATAAAGCCTAAGGGAGGAAGAGCCCTAGATCACTGTATAAAGCCTGAACTATTATTCTTTGAGTTTTGTTTCTTAAGAAATTAATGATCCATAAAGTACTTTGCCAGTAATTCCTGTTGTGTGCAATATCGTGGTCACATTTGTCGAAATATGTCGTGTTTTGCTTGCCTTCAGTGACACCTAAATTTCAACTTGATTACTTGTTTAATACCAGTGAAACTTTTTTGACAAAAATTGGAATGGTAAAATCTCCTACTAGTAAAGGTTTTGGCAGTATATCTATATAAATAAACATGGAAATGTTCGTTTGTGCATAACCGCTAATCTCCGAAAGTTCTTCACCGATTGCTTTGAAATTTTCTTACAACGTTCCATTCGCATCCGAGCAGACTTTTATATACATACTATATAGATGTGACGTCTGTGATGGTTAAAAAAAACATGCTTTTTCTGAAAAACTGGGTTTTTCCAAGTGATTTTCATGTGAGGGAAATCTTCGAAATCTCTTTACCGATTGCTTTCAAATTTTGACACTACGTTGCATTCGAATAGGCGCGTCTTTTTATATACCTACTATATAACTGCCACCCCTGTGACAGGTAAAAACATGCGTTTTTAAAAACCAGCGCCATCTGTTGCACATAATAGCAACATGCACGCTATACTAAATATGTCACGAATTCAGGAGTCAGGAGGACTGACACTGGAAAAACCTATTCAATAACCACTGAAGCTCACCTTAATTCTTTCCTCAGTGACTGTGGGATGTCTGCTGTATAGCCTGAATTCAAATTATAATCTCATTTAACTACCTTTGTGTACTCTAGCTCTGCCTTTCCTTTCAAAAGGTTTTAACTTTAGTTAAAAAAAAAAATAATAATATTGTCATCTTTATTATTGTCTTTTTTTCTTTTTACTCCCATGTTCCATAGTACACTGGCTTTGCCTGTGTCCTCTAGTATTAACTTCATTATCCAGTGTTCCTGAGTGTATCTCTATTTAAACTACCTCAGTTTGTTTTAGTGTAACTTTAGTATTCAACTATAGTGTACTTATAATAGTATAGTAAGCAAGCTTTTCATCTTATAGATTTCATAATTGCTTTTTGACTTTTTTGGTCATCTATTGTTATTAATTATTCTAGTTCATTTTTTACATTCCTAGTTCCCATTAAGTTTTTTTTTTTTTTTTTTTTTTACTTAAAATTACCATTAAGTTTATATTACTTTAGAATTTTTATTCTATTTTTTTTCTTTGTTTTCTATTTTGTAATTTGCCATTCTTGCCTTGTTTTCCTGCAAACAGCCTTTTTATGCAGACAAGTATAGACCCAGAACTAAACCTCTTATCCACTATCTATGACAATCATCACTTCACTGATCAAAATTGCAGATATTTTACAGCACATGATGTAAACAATGTATTAACAGATAATCACAATATCTATGTAATCAACTTGAACGTTAGATCCCTAGGTAAACACTTCGATGATGTTAGTGCCTTGATTGAAACTATTGACAACAAATTCTCTTTTATTATACTTACTGAAACGTGGTTGAAAGAGGATACTACTCAACTCTTTAACATGCCTAACTACTCGGCAATTCACAACTGTCGTCAAATTCAGAGAGGTGGTGGCACTGCTCTTTACTACCACCAAGAACTAACATGCTTAAAAATAATTAGAACTAAAGACTGCTGTGGGGAGTATATCTTCGCCACTTTCAGAGTCAAGGGTGCCGAGTCTGTCCTGTCTGTGGGTGCAGTCTATAGAATTCCTTACACTGATGTGTCTGAATTCAATTCAAACCTTAGAAATCTAATACTAGATAACAGACCGAACAAAAACCATCTAATTATCGCAGGGGACTTTAATATTGACCTCTGCGAGCCTGAACACCCTACTGCTGTTAGCTTCCTCAACTGTATGAATTCCTGCTTCCTCATACTCTCAATCACTAGACCAACTAGAATCACTGATAGTACTGCTACGACTCTAGATCACATCTGGACCAACATAACCTCTCCGCTTACTTCAGGTATAATCACCGATAGCACTACAGACCATTACCCCACATTTCTCTTAACTAATATTATCAAACCACCTCTTGAGTCAAGGGAGTTAAGCTTTAGGCTGCACAATGAAACTGCTATAAACAATTTTATAACTGCTGCTGATAATGTCAACTGGGAGTCCGAGTTAGGTAACATAGGGGACATCAACCTAGCAGTGCAATCTTTTCTTCAAAAAACTCTTAGCCTTTATAACACCCACTGTCCTATGCTTACAAAACAAGTCACAAACAAAAGGCTTAACAATCCTTGGTTTACAAAGGGAATACTTAAATCCATTAACAAAAAACACGACCTTGAGAAGAAGTATAGGTTAGGAACCGTCTCCAAAAAATTCTCAAAGAATTGCTCGTTATTGCTATCTAAAATAATTAGACGAGCCAAAACTAAATACTATGAAGATAAATTTACCCAAATAAAGAGCAACATTAAACAAACTTGGAGCACAATTTCACAAATATTGGGATCAAAGAAGTCTTTAAATAACAAACCAACACTCCTGTCCAATAACGTTGGTCAGCTTTCAGCCTCTGATTCTGCTATTGAGTTCAATAGGTTCTTCTCTTCCATTGGGTCATCCCTTGCAAATGATATTCCATCTTCCAGTACTGATGTTAATGACTATCTTACAGGTAACTATCCACAGTCTCTGTACCTAAAGCCTACTAATTCCACTGATGTCAATGAGATAATCCTTTCCCTTAAAATCAAGTCTAGTGCCCTCGAGGAGATACCAACT